GTCTATTTTTAACAGTGTCAAAACTTAGCTTTTTAAAAAAGTGATATTTACATTTTAACAAAGGTTGTTGTACGTGTATTCTATAGGGACAATCATTCTAGTCATTTTGTAACTTTTATGTTCGTGATCTTGTTCTCATTTACCTCCATAACAGATAAAAAATTTAATTTTATCCATAGAAGCAAAAAAATACAAATCAAATAGTATGATTTTTTTTTTTTAAAAAGGTGACAAAGTATATCACTTTTAAATTTCACTATATAATAAATTCATATGCAAATGTTAAATAAAGTACTACATTATCTCCATTTTTCATTTAAGGTAAGATTTGAATTCATGTTCATATTTACTTTTTTATAAAACACACATATGCATCTCTTTAATTGATCTAAAAAAATTCAATTGAGATAGCGACCCGTCACTTTTCTCATTTTCAGATTTGTATCTACATTTTCACAAGCATAATCACTTAAATTGATGCAAAATTGATTTTTCATATATATATAATCAACCCAGCTCATACAAATCTGAAGATTAATATATATAATAATTGAAAATTATTAATCTAAAGATGAAATTTCATATGTACTAGATTAAGAAAATCCTCAACAACATCAAAATCAAACAAAATATGAACTAATTGAATGAAAAATTAGAAACATACAAATCTGTAGATTTGAGTTGATTATTTGCAAATTTGGAGAAGAAAATTTTGAATAAAAGGTAGTTAAAGCAATCATTGACCTTGTTTGAACTTGATTTGTTTAAGATTTCCTCTAATGATTTCAATTTTTCTTGATTTGAGAGCGCAAGATTTCGGTATTTTTGGAGCCATCGACACTGTTTTTGAATTTTCTGTTCACCATATTTCTTACCGTTTAATTGGGGTGAATTATATAAACTATATTTTAGCCCACGTTTTTAATAATTTTTCAAAAGTACTCTAAAATTAAGGATATTTATGTAAGTACCTCGTAATTGAACATTTTACAAGGACTAATAGACCCAAAACTTAAACATAAGTTGGTCTAAATCAAATTTATTTCTGAACGAAAATAATTACAGAAAATATCATTTAATCCTAACAGATCTTCCTGAACATCCAACGAACTGTTTATCAAATTCTAACCCATCAAGAACTATTTATTATAACAACAAACTGCTGGGTTCTGATCAGATGAAGCAGAAATTAGATCTCATTGGGATATTTACTTGTCCAGCTCTTGGAATAGCGATAGTCCCGAAAGATGGGGTTTTAATCATGTTTACCCTTGCCCGATTTCTCCAGGCTCGATGGAAACTAACAGTGGTCTTGGTTACTCCATCCTTCTTCGTCTTCTCAGGAACTAATGGCAGAGGCTGCACAAAAGGTCTGGACGGGTGGTCAATGGGAAGGTAAATTGCTTTCTTAATGTCATCAACAAGCGCTACCTCGCTATCAAGTAAGTTGGCAGAGTTAAAAAACATTTGAAATACTTTCATACAAGAGAGATGAAGATTCTTGCATGATTTTGGCAAATCATCAAATCTATCCAACAGAACATGTTTGAGGAATTCTTTCCTTTTCATTTCCACAATCTCTTCGACGTGAGCTATTGATTCATCTATACAAGCCTGTCGATTTTCATTCAAGTGGAGCAATACAAGATTCATTTTCCCATCTGCTTTTTCCTTCTGTATTGTTAACCAAAATTAAGAATTTTTAGACATCAACAAACGGGGAAAAATATAAAAAATTTCATGTTAGAAAGTTTTCCCTTATCATTTACCTCATAGCTTTGAACGTCATTTAATAATCGGGTTCTAGCCATAAGTAATTTTGTGATGTTCTCATATTCTGCTGGTTTGAGCCTTTCACTTGTTAAGCCCGGATTCAAGAAACAAGAGGCTGGAAGAGTAATGGTATGCGCTGCAATTGATATCATTCCAGTTTCAAGATATTCATTTGCAGATGGTATATACCCTTTGTGGCTCCAAGTTTTCTCCACCATCCACGAAACAAATGTTTCACGCCACTGATAGTAAAGATTTTAAGTTTACAATTCGCTTATATATGATAAAATCGAGAAATGTAAGAAAATAAGGTTACAAACTTACAATATCTCGAATTTTTTCCCGGATTTCGCTTCTTTCATGTTGGTGACATTTTGATGTAATTTCATTTACAAAGTCATCAAGGGCGTCAAAGATAGTTTTACTGTGTCCTTGTAATCCTTTGCCATCCCATCTGCAAGGAAATAGTTACCATCAATGGCTTGTTTGCTAGAAATAATACAACATCAAAATATCGTCCATCATATTGTCCAAACTGGTATAGTACTACATATAATTAGCCCATGGGTCGAGATAGTAGGTAGGGATGGCAACGGGGCAGGGGGGCCCTCCCCGCCCCGTCCCCGCCCCATTNATTTATTTTTATTGCTCATATTCATTAGATTTAGACAAATAATTTTAGTTGCTATTTCTATTAGAACTAAAGAAAATTTCAATTTAAAGTATAGAATTCTAAAAAATAAAATTAAAAAAAATTTAACGGGGCGGGGCCCCGTTACCCGTCCCCACCCCAAACCCTCCCTGGGGCAAAATTCCCCCGCCCCATCCCCTGATTAAGCGGGTTATCCCCGCCCCGCGAGTATCGGGTTTGTCTGATTTTTTTGCCCATCCCTAATAAGGAAGTACCTCTTAACGGCATCCGTCAAGACTTCCAGCTCAGACATAGAACCTTCCATGTCATAAAAGTCATCAGCTACTGTGATAATTATCCCAGCCTTTGCAGATATCAATCGAACAAGGGAATCCAAAGGCAGGCAAATGCTAGCAGCAACAGCAAAGTACATATACACAGTTTTTTCTCTCCCAAATCCCATGTCACTAAGTCTCCATTTCATGGACCACCTGTGTTCATGATTCAAGAAACTTAATTTTATGAACATTTTATGTGAGCAAAATACTTAAAAATGCGCAAATTATAATAATCAAATGCGTGTACCTTTTAAGTTCCTCTAATTCATTTCTGTATATCAGCTGTCTAAACTCATAATTTTCCACAGCAAGCTGCAATAGCTTCTTGTTGTCTAGACTGGATAACCTGATAGTTTAACAAGTAATATCTGTATTAGCTTCTTGTACTAGAATTTAATCTCTCTTTCTTAGCCCCCGTTTGATAACCATTATTTCAAAAATCTGGTTTTCTTATACTCATTTTCAACTACACATTCTCACAAGTATTTTTCACATAAAACCCAAAAAATTTTCTTTCTTTTTAAACACGAGTTCTGCAAAAATTTACTATTCAAAAACTCATTCTATACAAAAAATAGCTGTCAAACATTGGCTTTATTTCGTCGAGTGCCGTAATGTACCTGTAAAATGAGGCCTTCCCAACCCACAAGGGGGTTATTTTATTTTCTTCCATCCACGTCCTATGGTCAAGATGATCCAGCCTAGCAATCCATGGAAGCTCCAATTCATGCTTAACCTACAGGAAATCCGCAGTTTCATCTCAGTAATAATTGAAAAACATTAAAATGAAGAAAATCTTCCATTTTTTATTGAGCACCAACAAATAACTTTTATTTCATAAGGTCCCCACGCATGTGGCAAAAAATAAAATCAACCCAGTCACCGGAAATGTGTAGCATAGGCCGCATAGTGTGGACCACCTTGTTTCCATTTTTTTAAAACAAACAAATAACTTCCATTTAATTTTATTAATGAGGGACGAAGAAAAGGGTCATTTACCACACTCTGAAATCCCTTGGAAAGTACAAAGTTATGATCCCTATTTCTTTTAACTGATCTTTCTAGCATTCTTCTGGCAAATGCTCTTGCCTCCTCTAATTCACACTCTCCTGGAAATAACAAATTTGTGGCTGCGTATACACTGTACATCACCGTAATGAATTTTTCACAGTTTTCTTCCATATGATTCAGGATTTCTGCATGATTTAGAAACCAACAGAAGTTCCCTGAACATGTATAACATTTGAGTCAGTTCACTATTTACAAGCAATAAATTGTCTTAATTAAATAAAGATTTCGAAATTCTACCTGGATTTACATCATATCCTTGCATACGGAAGAGACGAAAAGCCAAGGAGTCCTTGTATAATTTTATGGGTGATAAAATATTTGTCTTTCCTGGCTTTGACTTGCATTGTTTCTGATCCCTGAAGAGAGGCCAAAATTTTCATTTCTATTAAACATAATTAATTAAAATAAGTACATTATATCATCCTTTTTATATAATTTTTTTCAAAAATGCTGGTTGTCCAGAATTAAATCCCGGGTCAAACCAGGGTCCCATTTGGCGCCCCACTCCAATAGGGGGCGCCAAATGGGACCTTGGTTTGAATCTCTCTATTTTTTTACCCTTCCGATAAATCAAGTTACATGTGCCATATTCAAATCATATTGTTACAAATTTTGATGAATAGTTAAAAGGATTAGATCATTTTTTATGCTTGATGATGATTAAAATCAGATTTTTAGTAGATTTTGATAAATTTAATGAAATGTGCGATTAAAAGGTTGTATGTTTATGGTTAAAATTAATTGTTGACTTTGACTTAAATTAAAATTAAATTTTAATCCATCCAAGCAAGGGCTATTTTTTATTACTTCATACGAATAAGACTGTGACTGAAATAGTATTATATTACATTAATATTCAAGCTCATTTAAGAACTCAATTTTATTGGACAATAAGTTTTCTTTCTGAACCATGTTCAATATCTATACCTTATGCAAACACATAATTATTAAATTATTAGTTGTATGACCTGTAAATTTGAGCAAGTATTTTCTCGATCTCTCCATTGAAATGCTCAGCCAAACCCAGCCTTTGCACATGATCAACCATGCAAAGCTTTACTAGTTCTTCGTCCACAGGATACTTTGCTGGTACTGCATAAAGTTGATTTGGGTTAATTCCATTCATACATACAAACAAAGGCGGTCCTGAAGGTGCACAGGTGGTGCAACCGCATAGGACCTCAGCATTGTAGGGGTACCAAGAAAATTTTTGTTATATATAATAATTTTAAAGGAGTCCCATTTTAAAATATTACACAGGGCACTCAAAATTTCAAGGTCAGCATTCATGTACGCATATTCTTCGAGTTGTATTCATATACTGTCTTACCTCCTCCATTAGGACAATTTTGTACTAGAGACTCGAGATATCTTCTACATTTGATGTTTCCCGTGGCCATAAACGCATGAGCTGTAGCAGAAGGTGACTGAAATAATGAACCGTCATTGCTCAAATGCTTAATAATTTCCTCTTGATGGACATTATACGTTGGTGGCAAGCTCTCCAGGTAGGCCAACAGAGGAAGATCCCAATACCGTGACTCATCAACAAGCTCTTCCCTGTAATTAAGCTTTTAGGGAGAGAAAGTGCAAAGAAAGTCCCATATCGTAGACATGAACAAGATATAGGCTTATAAGAGATTGGGCTACTCCACCAAATAGGTTATGTGCAATCTTACCAAAAAAAAAAAAGGTACTTACGTTTGAAGAATTTGTTGCTGGTTGAATAAAACGTCGGCTATCACTCCTTCTGATCCCTGAGGTAAAACGAGTTCCAGGCTGGCTGCCTGAGCGAGTGCAATCATTGCCGGAAAAACAATGAGAAACCACCGAGGAAGATTCTGATAATTTATTTTCAGAAGTATCTCTACCTTGTCATGAACAAATGCCAATCCTGTTAAACATAAGAAACGTATTCAAATGAAATTAGTGAATGTATATACAAGTAACTTTATCTAACACATTAAACTTATAAATTAGAATAATGCTACTCGGGACCATGTTAATGATCACTATTAAGATTGGGCTCCTTTTCCTTGTCCGATGCATCACAATTTCCATTGGACAATGAATTAAGAACTGATAATCATTATACTGGTAATAAATAGCATTACTCCGATTTTAAGGTCAATGACTAAAGAATCATCAAAGTCATTTGGTCTGCATGTTAGATGTGCACGTAGTATTTTTTGCTTGTGTACCTTTCTCAATATTTTCTTGGCCTACATTCCAAGTTTTGAGGGCAACCATGCAAGCAAGAGTTGAGGGTAGAGTATCGATGGTTGGTAAACCCTCTTCGTCCGTATTGCCCCAAAATCCCCCTTCTTTCTGGTTTTCAAGTATCCAATTCAAGCAATTCTTGAACATGGGAGAGTTATATTTTCTGGGATCGGCAGGAATCATGGCTAACCAAGCTGTGTCATAGGCAGATGAGGAAACAAATGCATGGATATTATCATTTGAAAAAATCTCCTTCTTGATGTCACTTACTAGAGATTGAATCGAGGATTTCGATGGCTCCATGGAAACAAATTAGCAGACACTTTGAAAAATTTATACTATATTTTCTTGATGGTAAGATGGTTTGTATGAGTATTGTTATGGAGTGGCTCAATTCTATTTATAGACTAGGCCCGTGTTTGATTTCAATTAACATTTCGAGTCAAAATCAAGAATCAATTTTAACCATACATTTTGTGGGATCTACAATATTTTAAATACACATTTTATCAAAATCTACGAAAAAATTTTGGATTTTTCATCTACACCAACAGAGAATAAGATTTTTTGTGCTTGATAATGACAACTCCCATACGTACCAAGACTTTACTTCTTTCTTCCTCACGTGAATACTGCACCACGTGTGCGTGTGTATCTCATTCATTCTTCATTAATTAAGAGAAAATTTAAGGTTTAGAAGTGTAAGTTGAGAGTTCATTATTTGTATATAAATTTACAAACAATTTATGAATTCTATAAAATCAAATATTAAGTTCAAATACATATTTATAAATATTCTTCATTTTTATTCATACACGTCATAAGACTCACTGTTCCTTTTACTATCTATCTTTATAAATAATTTATGAATTTGATTGGCTAAATTGTTCGAGCCAGTATTTAAAACATACCTAACACTCGATAACAGTGGTGGAGATGGGTGGTGTCCTTTTGAGAATCCAAGCCCGGCTCGAACAATTTAATTATTTATTTGCGTGC